ATGTCTTACCAAAACGATAAGTAGTAGCAATATCAAAGTAAATAGCGATGACCATATAATATCTTCTCGTTAATTATACTTAAGCCTGAATTCTTTCGATCGCGGCCAATATTGTTCGAAGGCCGAATCCGACGTTAACGAGACACTCAAGAGAAGGGAGAACTCAGCCAGCCTTTAAATTAAGAGATAACTTCTCGTGGAGGAAGCTACTTGGTTGCCGGCCTGCCGTCTCGTCGCGGCAACGTTAAAGGAACACGGTCGGCGGCTTTTTGTGGAATCGCGCCGTGGCAACTTTTGCGAGACCCGCCGTTGAGCGGGCTCGGCGAACCGCGCTGCCAATAATAGAGCAATAAAAAAGCTCATTGGTCCGCCGTGGTGTGTTTCAAAGCGGCAGTAATGGAGCATGAAAGCTGGCGTGTCTTTACGGAAACCAGGAGGCGGAGGAGGAGAAGGATGCGTGCTTGATGGGAAAGAAAGGACCGAGCCGACGAAAGAGAGATGAAAACTCGAGGGTGGCGGCGCGGGACATTCATCTTCGGAGGCGTTCAGCCGTTTGATAGCAAAACCTCCCGACGCGCGACGCACTACGTTCTCCTCTGCTCTACTCGAAAAGCCACAAGAACCCACCGCTAAGTCCGAAAGCAAACTGTGGACCAATTAACCCTTCCAACCCTCGCAAATAACTTTGTTGTATATAGGATAGAAAATCAACGGCAAGTGTAAATAGCAATCTATTCCGACATTTGAAATTAATTTATATCGATATACATAAATCAATGACTAATTAATAAAATATTGACAATGTTTCCACTTCTTTTTGTCTTTCAAATTATTATTACATATGGTGTTAACAAGTAAAACGTTGTAAAACTTTTCAACAAATAACTCTAATCACACACGCACGCACGCACGCACGCACGCACGCACGCACTTTAAAATAATATTTTTTAAAGAAACAGGAATTAAATAACACATATTGACTTTCGCAAGCTATTACTCGATTATCCAAGCGTTTTTATTTTTATATATTATGTAAATGCAATTATCTGTTAATCATTTTAAAAGTGATAATATTTATTTTTCGGAGATGTATAGGCTTACATGGATTTCACGGCCTTCATTCGCTTCCTATGCCATGTCTCCTGCGGTCGTCGATCGTAAATCGGTCGTTCGCCGCATTTCTGCAGTTCACTGCCGGACGAGAGCAAACAGGCGATAAATCAGCACATAAAATGGACCGGCGATCGATGAGTCGACCGGAAGAATAATACTCGGGTGTGCCACTCGATGATGGCACCGTGTGCGCGTGGTGCCAAGCCGTCTGCTAGTTACCTCGGGAAATGGGAATAAAAATAAATGTGGCCGGTAACGAATTTTAACGATGGGAGCCCGAGAAATTGGGTTAGAGACGCACGATAGCGAAACTATCAAGATTCTACTCGAATTCTAGATTTTTCATGACCTGCTCAGTCCTATCCGATTAATTATAGTTCTTCAATCACTCAAATCACGTTTTCTGCGAATCTTTCAACATATTTGTTGTTAATTTCTCATAGATGCCTAAGCAGGTTTTGTTTACACGCTTATTTACGGCATGAGGACAAAATTGTTTTGCAAATACAGTTAGCAAACCGTTTACTCTCCTGTGGTGCGATTCGTGAAACTCTCGAGAAACTGTATTTCCCGTCAATATTTTGATGCATAAGTCGATGCATCGTCGCATAAATGTATGAATAATAAATGTCGAGAATCGTAAGAAGATCGGACGCGCATTGTTCGTTCTTAACCAACGCGGTTGAAAATCGAGGCGCTCTTGAAGTCACCCACGTGGAGTTAACACTAGGTTCAAAATCATCGTCAGTATACCCGAAGTTGCGGTGAGGCGTCAAAGCGATGCTCGAGTGCCTCGCGAAAAAAGCAAATATTTAACGGGGTAAGGTGAAATTCCTGTTCTCGCGTTAGACAGCCTGGCTACTTTACAATACGCCATATCAACGTTCACCATCTGACACGTTTACCGGAATATCGTGATACTGAATATAATTTTTTGAAGTATAGAATTTTTCTCTTACACGAAGGATACCAAAAAGTGATCTCATTACAAGTAATCTCTTACAAGCTTAGAGAAAGACGATTTTCTTTCCCTGAGAATAAAGATAAAAATGTTTCGAGATAAGTAATTGAATTTTAAATGATCATTATATAATTGATTAAATAATACGGTTTTTTAAATGGTTACCTTTTCTTCAGAACAAGAAAATGTTTTCAGCAGCACGAATAATGGATTTTTTATTGTAACATAATATTCAATCAGTATCCTTGCTCGAATCGAAGCGGGGGAAGATAAATGATTTTGTAGAATAGACTTGCGAAAATCATGATGTTTTGTTACTCCGACCATTAATCTTTCCATCGCAAGGTTGAATAAAATTTAGCATCGAATTACATAACGCATGCAGTTAAAAGATCAACTTTATTAGTATTGTTAATTTTAACCGCTGCAGTTTCGTCGTACTTTTATTTAAAAGACTAGAGCGAATTAATAACTTATAAATCTACGGAGAATTAGGTGAACTATATTTATTGCAGTAGATAACAAAAGCTAAGAGGAAGCGTAAATATCACAAAGTTTCCCCCTTTCTCGTAGAACAGAGGAACGTAATTTTCGTGATATTTCAGTACCGTTAATTCTCATTATCAACCGATCTACTATTCTTTGACACGTCGACAGAGGAACATACCCGTTAATATATACCAACACACCGCACCGTTCCGCGCCATTATCGGGATCTACCTCCTCTTCTACCTCACGGTCGACGCTACTCGCACGGATCATCTATATATCGCACGGTGACTATTTATACAGTAAGCAAAATGCCTGCCTTCGGTATACTCGTAATTCGAACGAACGAACGAACGAGGAGGAGCGACGGCTGTCAAGAAGTGAAATACCATCCGGTCCACTTCGCGCGCTCGAGTCCTCCACTCGAGGTCCGAGGCCCTGGGGCCCCGAGGCCCGGTGTGGCCGGCATTATGAATGAAACCGCGCAAAGCCGGTTCAGTGTGCGGTCCCCGAGGCAGCTCTGAGCGAGAGGGGTTCCTCGAGGCCCTCCAGGAGAAGCTCAATGGAACTGAGAGAAAAAAATTCGTGTGGTCATTTTTCGAAGGCAACAATAAAAACGCATCCCCGCGTCCCCGCCACCGCAGCCACCGCCGTCGTCGCCACTTGGACCTGCTCTGCGCGCAGGTTGCTGCGTCACAGGCAGTGACACATCCTGCGGGATTCCTGCGCATCGAGAAGGGCGCAACAATGGAAGACGAGCGGCGACCGGAGAGACGATGACTGGTCTCATCGTGGAAGACGACTCACGCGCGCACGGCTATTTATGCGATATCATTCCAAGGGGCGACACGGGGCCCGTCGCCCGTAAACAATGTGACCTTACGTGGAGGAGCGGAGAGTCTCGCGCGACTTCTCGATGAACGTTAACGATCGACGTCCTCGCGCGATCGGACGCGACTGGACGCAGGCTCCTCTCGGTCCATTATATCAAATCCCAATTTTTTTTATATCGCACTTTAGTCCACCTCGTATGAAAGTCGATGGAGCCACGTTGAAATTGTTAGATATCGAAGCTCTCGAATTCCTTCACGTCGTCAAATCATTAGATTCTTAAATTTTTACGTCACTGGCTTGAAAGATGATGTAACTTTAGCTTCAACAAACGGACAACAAAAGTTGGGCACAATGCGAGGAGGAGTGAATGGCTCTAATTTTATGCCCGATGTGTCTTCACCGACGTGACGTACTTTACCTTAGCGCAGATCACAAAAAGGTTAACATGAAGGCGAGTTCACGGAGGTTCTCGATCGATCACGCGATCCGGGTGCGTCGCGGGTGCGTGATCCAGGCACGAATCCGAGAGAATCTGACGTCGATTCATCGGTCAAGTCGTTGACACCTCGATCGGGCGCGAGTAGCGTGTCTGGTGTGTCACGTAAAAAGGCCGTTCTTCTTCCGTAACGCAGAAACTTTACCCGGGCTGTCGTTGACAGGACTCCCCCGCCCTGGCACTCACGCGGCACACGAGTTCTCAAAGACTGGACACGTACGCGGCATTCCATGGGACACTTTACGAAGCAGTGAGCTCTATAACATTGGAGCGCGCGCCTTCCCTATACTAAACTATAGAAAACCGCGGCCCGACGGAGAAAAGGAAGGCAAACAGTATTGGTCTTTCTGACTCTTTTCTACTTGTGATAGTAAAACAGCATTAGCCAATCAGTGAATCCCTGACAAAGAAGACACTACCAACTTTGCATTAGAGTGTCCTTATTTAGGAATTGAGACACCCCACTCCTCGATGGCGCACTCCAGTATGTTATAGAGCTCATTTGTTACGAACACATGGTTGAGAATTTGTCTACCTATATGTAATCATCGTTTTGTGTCTTTGCCGTCAACTATCGCGTTTTTGAAATCTACATCTAGAAATCGCGACGCGATTTCTTCAGTAAGCCTTGTAATGAAAACACGAACTCTTTCGATATCTTAACTCGTTGCTGTGTTGCGAAGCATCTGTTGTTTTATGTATTGTTTTAGGTTAAAATAACAAACGCGGAATAAATGTTTATATTTCTAACTACATACCTATATTTTTTTTAAATAACAATTATATATAAATTTATTGAGAAAGTAATGTTTTGCTAGTTAATCGCAGCATGCGAGAAAGGGTAATTTTTTTAAGTGACTGAATTATCTTATTATCGATTAGCGAGATACAGTTGGAAGTCACGGAATGTCGATTACTTCCTGCGATCTCGTCAAGTTGTCATTGAGCTCACGTTATCGCGTGCGTCAAACGTGAATTCTGATCTCAAATCTATGTGGATCCTAATAAACGAGTAAATAATTTTGGTCACGTTCCGTCGATTTCCCCGAGTTCCACAATAGCTGTCTTCTTAAATAGGATTATATTAAGCTGTTTCACCGGTGCTGAATGGCGAGTCAAATGGAGGATCGTCGAAGATGTTTTGGTAGGCACGACTATGTGAATCAGCCGATGGCATTGCCGATGTGCCACCGTGAAGGAGAACAGAGAAGAAGATGGAAAAAGAAGAAGAGCCAGCAACAGCAATAGCAACAGCAACAGCAGCAGCAGCAGCAGCAGCAACGGCAGAACAGAGCAGAGCAACAGCAACATCACCGATGACGGGACACGGCGCGGAGGAAGACAGTTGACAGGTGAATGGTCACGAGCATCTCGCTCGTTCCTCATCCGGCCAGCTTTCCCACGTCTCGCGAGTCCTCTCCTCCAACGTCCCTTTTTTCCGCGAACGCTAAACAGAGAGACGCTGAACGACGCCGTCCCTCCTCTCCTCGCCGTCGCACTATCACAGCTCCCGGATACATACGTGACGTTTACGTCGCGATTCAATGCGTCGGCTTATGTCGCCGACGGTAGTCATTGCGCGCATCCGCACACGGATTTATCGGCATGGGAAATGTTTTTGATTCGGGAAAAAAAAGAAAAACAAGCGTGTGATGAATTTGCCACTTTTAGGCGACAATTCGCACGCGATTTTTGGTTTAAATATACCGATCCCTTCGTGTTCAGGAGGCGGTTACGATTGTCACAACGCAGGATGTACTTCACTAACGCAAAATGTAGCATATTTTTAATTTTGACCAAGATTAGATTGACAATAAGTTCCATGTGCAATTCTGTAGACAATTGCAAAAAAAAACTAATTTTCCGGTTCGAGTTACATTCTGTTAAGATTCTCATTATTTAAATGGAGATTTAATCCTGATTAATTATAGAATTAATGATAGAGAAAATTTTCCATTCTTACTATTTTGTTAATTTTTTGAAACACAAATCTTATCTATAATACTCGCTTTCTGTATATTTCTGAAACAATACATTTCTCAACTATAAGTGGAAATTAAACCAATAAAAATAAATCAAATAAGAGATAAAATTCTATTTTCCATCCAAAGCAGATCTTGATGGTAAATAATATTTATATGTAGATTTATAAATATATTTTTCAATTCTATAAAATGCACATCGATTCGGTTTATTGTACTTGAAACATAATCACAAACTAAAGCTGAAAATAACATAATCATAGCTTATATTGATCATTAATTTAATGAGTATCTTAAAATACTGTAAGGAACTTATTGAAGAATATTTATTTCCAGAATATGTTTTTCTATCTATACATTCTGTTTTTTGATTTCTTATATTTCAATTCACATTTATTTGCTCCAGTTCTCTCTATTGGAGCAGCAAATCATCTTTTTAACTTACCAGCGAGAAAGCATGAGAAATTAATTGTTTCACAATTAGTCATGTCTTCTAATTATTGAATATCTTCTTTGATTATAACTAATGAGGAAACAATCTGAAATTTTGCCACATATAGAAAACGTATGAGACTGACGCGGAAATATGGGTTTCAATCGGACTGCTTTTGATGCAACTCTGGACGCAATCTGTCAGGCGGGATTGTTATCTTCGGCAGGGAAAGGGCTCGTTGATCGAGCATTTAGGAATTATAATCGCGGAGGTGTCACGTTGGCGAAATCTTTCTTCTCTCTCCCTCTTTCCCCCCTCTCTCTTTCTCTCTCTTTCTTTCTTTCTTTTACTCTTTGTCCTCTTTCCTCTCCCCGTTCTCCGTCAACTTTTCATCATCTTTTCACCCTGAGTAAAACTAGACGCAATCCTACAATCTGGAAATGAGGAATCCGAGTATTTCGTACACTTATCAATTTAAGACTTCGGAAAGACTTTTAATACTCTTAATATCAGAAATTAACGAAATCATATAGCACAAAAAATCAAAGATAGAATTGTAGAAATTTACAGAAAAAGGAAAGAAAACGTAGAATTAATATCTATATTATATTTGAAAATAATTGAAGTACATACATCTGTCTTTATTATTAATTTATTATTTATTATTGTACATACTATATATTATATATTAACATTTATTATTTAATTTAAACATATGATGGACACTAAGTTTGATCTATAATTTTTTGTAGTAGACCGGATATGAATTCTTAATGTTAATTTTTAATGTTATTTCTTATTTGTCCTATAGGCTTAACTCAACTTTCTTTGGTTTAGACATACCTATATGTTAGTCTGATACGCTCGTTTAATGCAGATTTGTTTATACAGATTTGCTACAATTTTTCTGAGTACTGGGATAATAAAAATACTTTTAATATAATATAAAAAAATTTTATAAACAAAAATATTCATTCTTGATAATACAATTTTTTTCTCGGTTGCAGCCAGAAGAAAGAAAAAATTAGCAACGTTTGAAACGTGTCACGACCGTTTTGTCGCTGCCGTCGGAAACGAGATTTCTACGAGATTCGACGTGATCCCGTCGATTCCGAGCCAACGGAGCGGACGACACTCGTCCTTGCTTACGTTCGTAACACAGTGTACAGACGGAAACTCGTATAAATTCCCTTGAGTAGAATGAGGTATCGAGGAATAATCCTGGACAAATATAGCAAGTTAACCCATAAAATTTTTCATAGACTCCCGAATCAGACATCATCTATCTTCGTACGTAAACTAGCGAAGTTGTAAGTGCGACGAAATTACAGTTATCAGCTTGGAATTCTAGTAAGCTGTTTATAATCTCGTAATATTTATATGAGAAGGAGATTCTTTATGTTATATTTTGCAGAGAGTTGGAAAGACTCATATTCTTTAAATTTTTTTAGAAATATGCATTAATTAACGTTCGCACCGAAATAAAATATATTTAGGATATATCCATCAAGGGCAAGTCAGAGGGGCCATCCTCTTTGCCGGCTGCACTATCAAAGATCACTCGAATTGTTCTCGTCGAATCATTCGACGATTAGATAGAATTATCTCTGGTGATTTCACGGGTTCGACGCTTACGTTTACACTCAGGTCTAGGCGTATAGCTTCGTTGTGTTAAATGGGCCAACATAAGCAAACTTCTTGAGACCAGGCACATGTGGTCAACAATGGTCGAGTAGAACTCTGGTGGTTACATGTGTAACGTAAGATAAGGACCGGAAACGGATGCCGTATAGAAGTATAAAGAAACAAAGGTCGTGGTCACAGCACAGCACGACTTGATGGACTCTCAGAGCCTGAGCGGATTTTCCGCTTTAAAGGCACCGATAATGAATTGTTCTTTCACCTGCAGAGCTACTCTTTTATTGCGCTCCTGATGGTGCCGAATGAACTTGTAACAAACTTGTAGCTGTGACTATATAGTGTCACAATAAGTACATAAAAAGATGTGAAATTTTTAAAATGGTCATCTTTCATCGCCTTGGAGACTAAAGTTAAAGGATGTATCAGATATATGTATATATATAGTAATGCAACAAGTAACTGGAATTGGAAATTTATATTTTTCGTATAATGATCAAAACGTTCTTGAAATGACGTCTTTAAAAAAAGGTCCTAAATATTTTGAACAATGTATTTTATTTTTTATAATTTTTATAATGAATTATTTTTACGATAATTTAATTTAGTGTAAATAATTAAATTTAAAATTAAATTAAAAACTGTTTAATTTTCTGGAATGATTTAGATAGAATTTAGATAGAAAGAATATAATTAGATAGAAATTTAGATAGAAAGAATAGAATTATTTAGATAGAAAGAAAAAGGGGATGATATGTGTGAATACACAAGCTGACGCGCCTCCGAAGATCTTGAGATTAGAAAGCATCTTTAACGATACCCCCTCTCCTCCTTCTAATCCGATACTTTTCACGATTCTCGATTCTGACAGACGGTTCTGTATTCGAATATCAGGTTATGGGCTCGCACCAGGCCTCGTTTTCTAACACGTACGTTTATTTCTGTGTGAATGTGCTCGCGTGTGTTTTGTCATATAAAGGTAGCATTATGTCTTGAATTCCGACCAAAAAATAGAAACTTTGAGAGTAAATTATCCCAGAAGGGATAGCACACTTAAACTATCTTTTTAAACACAGTGCATGGAATTGATATTATTTGTATTATCTTACTCTGCTTTACTTTTATAAATCATAATTCCAGTATAAATCTTGTTGATATATTCTATATTTTTGTAATAAATGTATAGATAATAAAGTTACATAAAAAAGTACTTTTTTATAAAATTCCTAGTTCAGGAAGAAAATTTTCTAAAGAATGATTTTTTTCGAAGAGAAGATGGGGAGGGTAAATGAAGGGAAAGAAAGTATGTTTTCACCCAAATCCTAAAGCAGGCTGTATATTATATAACATATACACTACTCAACAAAAAAATAGGAAACACTTTCGAACACGTGCAAAATTGCACATTATTCAGAACATCGTAACTCTGTGGAAAAAATCTTGCAATTGTCAATAAAAAAGTAAATTAAAGGTAAAGATTCTTTCGACTGCTGTAAATCTTATTTTTGTGTGATTTTTACTTCACGCCATAGACCTTTGTAAAATATATATTGATATAATTAATTTCTATTAAGATCACTTTTTCTTTTTTTTTTTCAGTTATTACAGCATTATTGAACAAAAATGTGCGATCGGAATTGCGCCGACATCAATGTTACTTGAAATTGACCTAATCGAAATGGAATCTTGCTCGAGCATGTTAATCCGATTAATTTCCGGTCCCACCACATATCCAACCCCTGTTAAAATTCCATGAACAAAAATGTTAAATTTACATTGATGCTAATTGAGGTCAACCTAATCGCAATCGGAATCTTTTTCAAGTTGCAAATCTGACAGTTTCCGCATCGCATTCATCGCCCGTCGTGCTGAAATTCAACCATGTCCGAATGGGAAAGCTGTAAGGAAAGATTACAGTGTAGGGTAAGTTGAGACGACCACCCATGGTATTAGGGGCAAGGCTTAATATTGTCGGAAGTGCCAAAACATGAAAAAGAATAGCTTGACTTAAACCAAGGTGACTTAACAAAATGGAGTAGTGAAAGGTATAAAGAATGAGACCTTCTGTTGGTTGACAGGAAAAAATCTAAACTGTAAAATTCAAATAGTAACCGCAACGACCAGCAAAAAAGCTGTCATTTTGAAATTACGGTTACACGTATGGGTGTGTGTAAGTGTATGTGTGGGAAAGAAATAGAGGGTAAGTTTTCACCAAGTATTCGAAAAATCATAATATTGATTGACAGCGGATGCGTTCTTTATTGAAA